CTATTTAATGCCTAAAGAATCAGTGTACCAAATTTCAGCCTCCTAGGTAAATGGGAAGTGAGAGAATTAGTGATGAGTGAGTGAGTGAGTGAGGGCTTTGCCTTTTATATATATAGATAAGATAAGCTAAACATATATAAAATTTGAACAAATAGTGTTTTTGGCGTCTAGGGAGATCAAAATGAAAAAGTATATCGGTCCCGGAACAATGGGCCACCTACGGTAATAGCTACTTCCCTATAAAGAAATTCGCTAAAAGGGTGTCATGTTAAAAATTTTAAGAATTAGTAAAAGTTGTTTTTTTTTTTTTTGTTATAAATGGTAAAAGATATATTTTACATTTGCCTTGGCTTCACACAATCATAACCTCCATAATTACTTAAAATAATTTTTATTCCCGTCAATAGCCCTATATTATACAGGGAAATTACAGTTAAATTTTGAGGCTTTTTAATTATTGCATGACCGAGTTTCAGTGTGTTCCCACACACACAGGGTAATTTTTGATAAATGAATAATGTTTCTGATCTCTGAAAGAGATTATATTGTTTTTCAGAAACCTATGTTGCTCTGTACGTATTTATAAGGAGTAGTACTTAAAGACAACAGATTAAATAATTTTAAACGTAAAATGAAAATTAAATTGACTCTTATAAGAATGTAATATAAAGAATTGCGGTTCTTTAGTCATTGAGATGTAAAACAAGGACCTCGCAAAAACTACATTTTTGCAATTGTACAATGCAGAAACTTACACCATAGTCTACTAATTAGCCACCATTGATATACCAAGATTAAATTTTATTCATCTTCAATTGAAGGGCTCCCACGAACAACGTTCCAAGCGCCAAATTTTTCAAAGTGGAGATATTGAGCGAACAACGTGCCATACGCCTTCCTCTAACAGTAGGGATATTTTGTTTTGTCATAACTGCAGTGGTACGCCTGCTACCAATGTTTTAGTGGAGCACGTGTTTCCCAGACTCCAGCTACGCCGCACGAACAACGTCTCATCCGCCACATCATGGCTTCAGGGTCAAGCGTTTTATTGAGTCCCGGCGACCAATATAAGCTAAATGCCGGTAAAAAACGTAAATTAAAACTTGTTGTATGGAAGGATAAGATTCGCAAGAATTCAAGGGATAGTGGGGAGCCTTACATTTCAAAAAGGAAGAAAGCAGTTCCTAGCAAACTACCACCAAGTGAGGTAAGTGGAACAACGTTTCTATCGCCACCTGATGCTCATGTAGGCCTATAAGAAAGTTTTTTTTAACAATGTTTTTAATCTTATCTTATGTTTTAATGTGCATATCCTGCTAAATACCTAGTCAAACAAAATATTTTTTTAAAGATCGCCTTTTGGCAAAAAAATACAAAAAAATCATTATTTTTACGGACCCATAATAATTTTGGTAATAGGTTCGTATGAGTTTATAGTACATATTTTCTTCCAATAATAACTGTATCAATGTAAATGTAACGATTTTTGTTTTTGTTTCAGGGCAGAGTATGTTCTTGCCAGTTTCAATGCGATCAGCTAACCTACGAAGAGAAAATGCAGCACTTCACTAATTTCCACAAGCTGGACTACAACAACCAGTCGCAATTCCTGGCCAACGCATGCATTAAGGTGGGAGAAGTGAAACGAAGGAGGGTGAGTGAAGATGTCTCTCAAAGACATTGTACACCTGAATATTACATTCCTCGTAAAGATAGGCTGTTGCGAGTATGCAGGAAAACTCTTTGCAATGTATTTACGATCACACCGCGCCGAGTGCAATGGCTTTTGGGAAAGATCAAGTTTGATCAACCTCTGACTGATGACCGCGGGACTCACAATAACCGTCCACACAAAATACAAGACGACACAAAAGAATTAGTTAAAGAACACATTAAACCTTTCCCATTGCAGGAGAATCATTATTCCCGTAATGACAGCAAAAAACAATGCTTGGACCCCAACTTATCAGTAAAGAAAATGAGGAAACTTTTCCTCATTAAGCACCCAGATGCTAATGTTTCTTTGCATGTACTGAAACATATTCAAATCTGATTTCAACCTAAGGTTTGGCCTTCCTAGATCTGACACATGCGCATATTGTGATCGCCTCTTCATTAATCTAGTTGCGGCTTCCAATGAAACTGAAAAGCAAGCAATTGAAAGGGAAAGTCAAATACATCATATGAAAGCAGACCTGGCCTACAAATCTTTAGCCGAAGACACAGCAGTAGCCAAAGCGACCCCCAACATAGTTGCTATTTGCGTAGACCTTGAACAGGTTCTTTTTTGCCCACTTCTCACTCATAATAACATATTTTATCAAAGACAACTGTCATGCTACAATGTAGCAATACACAACCTGGGCCTAAATAAAGCAACAATGTTTTTTTGGGATGAAACCGTAGGAAAAAGAGGTTCCGCAGAAATCACCTCGTGTGTCCTCAAGTATGTTAGCTCTAATTTTAGAAAACTAACAGTAGGTGAGACTCGAACACTAGTAATATGGTCGGATAGATGTGTCGGCCAGAACAACAACTGGCGAATGGTAGCTTTAATGCAACATTTAATACAAAGTGACTACTTTACCACGGTAGAACAAAAGTTCCTAACAACAGGGCACAGCTTCCTCCCCTGTGACAGGGATTTCGCTTTGATTGAAAAAGCAAAGAAAGGGGCAAAGGTTTACATTTCTTTTCATTGGGTTAGTGTTATTGCTAACGCAAAAGACTCAAATCCATTTGAAGTTCAAGTTATGGACACAGATGACTTCAAAAACTCTGACCTCGTTTTGAATTCCTTGGCCACAGGAAAATTTGGTATTACGCAACATGTGTGGTATCAGATATCCAAAGATGATCCAGCTACTCTTCGTGCAAGACCTACACACAATGTTCTGCGGCCATGGACTACACACTGCTTGGCAAAAAGAGTTAGGAACTCCAGGGATGGCAGAGTCTACCCGCCAGTAAAGGTTGCAGAGTTTCCAAACTTGTACCCAGGTCGACTAGGGATCAAGACTGATTTGCTGGATATGATGAGATACATACCACAAGAGTTCAGAGAATTTTATGAAAATATCACAGTGGCATAGATGGAGAAAAATGGAAACATTTTTATATATGTTAATTTAAAGATCCGTTGTTTCTTGTGTATTTATCAGTTTTGATTTTGATATTGTTTTCCTTTTCTACTAATAAAATGTACTTGTATTTCATACGTGTTTTTTTTACCTTAGAGCCTATAAAATATCAAGTATAAGTTTTGTTGTTTTCACAAAGGCCAATTTAAATACAGTGGAATTTAAATAATATATGTTCATATAATACTTTAAAAAATAATCGCTAAATTAGTAGTTCTATAAAATACCTGAACACAAAATAAGAATATAGTACCTAGGTTTTCTCTATTAACATGTTCAAGATTTTAAATGGTATTTTTTTTACTATGAGGTCAACATAGTCTCTTGGTTGTTGTGGAACACTGATTAACATAATATTTAGAATTTTTAAAGTTTTAAGTTTTGACACAGCACAAACTTAATGAACACTCTTAAGGTCTAAGGCACGCAAAGCTAGCAATAGTGACTGCTGCTCTGATTAACAGGTATGTATGTGTGGAGATCAGGAAGATTATGGGCATGATGGTGGCTAATGGTGAAGCAGTGATGAATAGTGGAGGAATGTAGAGGGGTTGTGGGGGGTTGGGGAGGTAAATGACCTTAATCTGGGCCGGGTGAGAGCGTGACTATGACGTCACGTTGTCTGCCACTGTCCGTATAAAGTCATCGCAGTGATGCTGCCTAAGTTTCAAAGCATTGACCTTTATAAATAAAATTGTTAATATTTTGATGATATCAAAACATCGCATTAACAAAAACTATATTGGAATTAACCACATTGTGTTTTAAGAATACTTATATAGGACATTATTCTGGGGACTATTAAAAGAAATTCGAATTTATTAAGCTAAATAATGATATATTAAATTATAAAACGTCAACCCCTTTGAGGAGTTACTTAATACATAAACAAGCAATTTTCACCTCGAAAAATAAAAAAAAATATAACTATTTGGGAAACAACGTTTCAAGCGCCTGTCGCTTGAAACGTTGTTTCCACAAAAAAAGTTATAAAACAACAATATGAAATAAAAACTTAAGTTGTTCATTATATTTAGACGTTTTAGACTCATACCAAAAATTTCAGGCAAAAAAAACCAAAAAGTATGTATTCTAAAAAAGTTTTGCATAAAACACTTTGTGGCGTGATTACTCAAAACAAGTAGCTCGGCGCTTGGAACGTTGTTCGTGGGAGCCCTTCAACTGTTCATCTTTTGTTGTTGTCTGCAGTGGCCGCTGCCAACGTCAAAACCTAAATTCCCCGCGATTCCCCGTCTATCTAGTCACGACTATACTTGCTCTACAACCATTACAACTTAGCTGCAAGCTCCCAAGCCTGGTTTTTGATCCGGGTACTAAAGTTAGGCGAGTCTAATACTAGGCGCGTACTAGCTTGACTCGAGCTCCCAAACCGCCTCTTACTTTTTAAACACTGAAAATAAAAGTAATAGGCTAGCTGTAGTAAATAATGGTGTACTACAATGATCGTTTTAAATTGTAAATTTAAACAATAAAAATAATTACAAAAGCACAAACAAAATTTCAAACAAAGAATTACATTTTAACAGCAACAAAATATTACAAAACCTGAATAATATAAAAAACTATGAACTAATAAATATACCTTGGTGGGAAAAACTCATTCCTAAAACAATTTAATATGGCCCCTTTTACAATTACAACTAATAACTCGTAATATTTCATGAATTTAACTTAGAATCATAAAGCCTTGTGGTCACAGGAGATATGTAGGCTAATAATATGTATCCAAGAAAATATGAATTTGTTAAATGGCTAATCTCTAAACAAAACCTACATAACGAAGACCAATGGGTAAAATTCATATCCCCAACAGTTTACTGTAGCCCCTTTTACTATTGTAAAAAGTAATACGTAGTTCTGAATCTGAATTGTTTTTTTCCCCTGAAAAGAGGTTAGCGACCTCTTTCAACAAGTAGCAAAAATAATAGTATTATTTCACAAGGCTAAGGGAACATTCCTGACTATTATTGCACGGTAATGGTATTTCCCATATCTACTGAAACAGTTTGTTGGATACTGTTACAAGTCTGCAATACCAGTTATATATTATTACCATCAATATATTGTTTGTACTGCTTACCAAGACATGGAAGGAGAGCTGACAAGATAAAAAACTCTTAAATATAGCCGACTAAAACAATACAAAATTGCAAATACAATAATTGTACTTTTTGTAATTTCTTATTGACATGAGTGACGAATTTCTCTAACGATTATTGTTTGAATGAAGCTGAGTTTATTTTCCAAGTAGTCAGGAGTAGCAAAAAAAGGGTTTTTTTAGAGCAACCGTGTGTCAAACCACTTGGATTATAGCACAACATTTTGTTAGATAATGTAGTCCTATTTTTATGTCCACCAGGATGGTCGATAACCTGAATCAGATAATCAAGACTACTGCACTTCACATTCAGTATAACTGTGCAACAACTTTATACGATTGAAAAAACGTAACTATTATCTCATTTTAATTACATTTCTTTCATGTTTATTTCTTTCCGTTGAAGATGTTTCTTTTTCGGGCTTTCAATTGTTGGATCAGCACCGGTGTGATGTTGTTTTCCTCGTCTAACATCTGCTGAAACACCTCTCGTGTTCTTTTCATCTGCCGTCCTGAATACCAGAGTCCACCTGACTTGTAACAAATGAACAACGGAGCATCACATAGTGGTCTAGGAGGACTGGTTGTTGGAACTGAATCATTGGAATTTTCATTAATTTCTTTACCTTCCGTTTTCAAACTCATACCTGGTAACTTTTTCAGTAAATAATCCACATCATTAATATCAGGTTTTTCTTCATAGGTTTCCATCGTGGAAAGACTCATTTCATCTTTCTTTCCCTTGGGTTTGCTATTAACGTCTTTTTTAAGTCTGTTAGGACTTAACTCGCCAAATAGAACTCGCTTTGGTTCAAACGTTTTCAGACGTTTGGACGGTTTTTGTATCATTGAGAGTTTACATTTCTTCATGTTTTCATTGAGATCTAATTTACTGATTGAATCAATATCTGGGATAGTAGAAATGTTATTGTTCATCGAAACAACCTTTTCCGCATCTTTCAAATCTAATTGAGGTGAAAATTTGTCAGGTGAACTGTTTTCATTCATTATGTTTGAGTGCCTGATAAAATAATGACGAAGCAGTGCTGCTGGCTTTAGAACCATGTTACACTTATCACAAACGATAAGATTTAATGGTTCAGCATCGACAACTATACCAAACATATCCTTGTCTTCCTTATGTAGTTTGTTTATCTTACTATCAAGCATACTCATCTGCTCTTTTCTTTTCTCCAAATAATCTTCCCATACACCCCACGGTAGTCCAGCAAGCTTTGATGGATCCATCTTCAATATTAATATCTTGATGAGTACTTCACTTGCTTGTCAATCTGAAAAACATCAAAGAGAATAAATTACTATGATATAATTATTTTACCTACCATTGAATATGTAATGATAATAGTAAGTCTCAATTAATATTGCTAACCTACGTCAGAAGGATCTTTTTGACAATTTTGACTTCATACAGGAGTAAGGGGAAACTATTTAAGTTATTTGTTACAACCAACCTTCCTGGAAATGTAGAACATGTTTTGACAATGATCCTATTTTGTACCCTTTCTATTATTGAAAAGATATGTGACAACATTTGCAGTAAAACTTCTTTCAGCTGCACCTCCTTAAACTAAAACTGAAATAGCCAAAACTATCATAAGAAATCAAAATCAATTGAAAAAAGAGCAGGGAATTATCTTCCGTGATGCAGGTAAATGCAATGGAGCAGATGACATGGATCTCATACCAAGATAGCCAACGGTTCAGAAAGCAACTGTCAATTATTTAAAGAAATAGATTTTGTGTGTATACTTGGTTGAAGATTTTTAACACAACAGCAATTTAAATCAAATAAAACACAGCTGTTGTAGATCTCTTGAATGTACATAGCTTTTAAATTCCAACAATTGATTTACCAAAAAATAAGGCGTCAATAACAGCTTTGTCCTTCAGATAATCTGGGTTTTTCCTGAATTCATTTATTCACAGGCCTACAAGTATGTATGATGAACTCACTGTTACACTTGTTGTGTGTATGATCCCAACTGTGTATGGCAGGCGGAACACTTGTGAATGTAGACGACTCGGCTAACAGGAGAGTTCTGTACTCCAGAAGGGGCTGCGTTGGTCACTGCACTACACATCCCGCATACAATGCTGCAATCATTGCACATGACTTTAAAGTTTTTCAATCAAGAAATAATATAAGGCAACTCAATCTACAATTTAAAAAATACCTGTACAATTTTCCCACGATAAAACGACACTTTGTAATCCAACATTTGGTTAGTAGACTCACGACCAGCAGAACAAAACAAGTCTGCTGCAAAATCAATATCCCACTTTTCTTTATCTTATAGACTATGTACCATCATTGTATAACCCAGCTTTTATAAATTACAGGTATTGTTTTTTACATATTTTGCTTACTCCATTGTATTCTTATACCGCATCTGATGCTTAATAGTAGGTTTTTACAGTTTGAAATTGGACCCAGTAACCCAGTTGTCCCTAATCGTTGGATTTTAAATAAATAATCCTGGCTAATGAAACAGCTGATCTTGGTCAGCAGTAACAAAGCCACACAGATCATCTCACTTCATTCTACACTCATTCTTCACTCATATTTGGGTTAAAGTACACACTTAGGTGACACCCTCATCTCAATTGATACTGTTAAGTATTAGTTAGGCTAAAAATACTGTGTAAAAAGATAATGTCAACATTTATATTAATTGAATGCATTAAGAAAAACCAAATTTTCAGTAAGTAACAGATATTCCGACACCCTGGTAGACAAGCCGACTTTGTGTTTAAACTTTTCTAAAAGATTAAAATCAAACCTGTTCTGAGGCCAGTCACACACTACATCAAACCATAGACAAAAAGAATTAAATATAGACTGTCAGCCGTGCTGCAGTTACCATGGTTACCATAGGTTCCGGCGCACACCGCTGTAGTTTACGTGGCGCGTACGCCGTAACTACATGGCGCTCCAAGCAGTGTGCGCCAGAAGCTATGGTAACCGCAGCACAGCTGACGGTCTATATTTAATTCTTTTTGTCTATGATCAAACACAACAATGTATCATTTGATTGACTTGATGCTATTCAGTTGGATGGTCATTAAAAATTTTTACTTACATACATTACAGAACATTTTATGTGGGGTGAAAAGCGTGATTATATGTATAATTAAGAGGGCAAGTGCAAAGGGATTTTTCTGATTTTCATAGCATTAGACATAAAAAGAAATCAATTATTCTGTGACTTGTTCTTTTTAATTTTCATACAGAAACTGAACTGTAGGCTTAAATATTCCGCTTCTGTCAAAATGTAGCCTATTGTCATAGGCTACCAAAAGTTGTGGTTCATGGTATGATAGGGAGTGTGCGGTATGGTGCTGAGTTACGTGTTGTAGCAAACACTGCCGAACACTAAAGAGGGAAATTTGCACTTGGTGAACCTCTAAAAAGAATATTTAAATATGTTCAACCAAACTCCTCAAACATATTTTTTTAAGTTACCAATTTGATGTTTTTATTTTGGTTATTTTTGTCATATTTTTCGCTAAAATAAATTTACGAGTCAAAATCCAATCACCTGTCCTAAAATCCATTACCATGAAGAAAAAAAAATCATAAAATAATCAGCCCACTAAATAACAAGACTATACTCTAGTAATAGCCGGAGATAAGGGTGTTAAAGGGGCGGTTCACGAGCTCGGGACTATCGTAGTCCGAGCCCAGAATCCGGAAATAACCGGTATTTGGGCCGCGACTTGAAAAATCGGGTTCACGAGCTCGAGACTATATAAGCCGCGGACCAAAGTGATAGGCGGCACACAATTAGTGCAGGGATAAAACCCGGTTTTAAAAGTTGGGTTCACGAGTCCAATTACAGATAGTCCCGGCTCTGATCATTAGTCCCGGTGGGTTCACGAGTCAAGTCCGAGCCCAAATAAGATGGTTCGGGCCCAAAAGAACAATGGTGTTTGGTCTCCAACTCAGACCTGGTAGGAGGCAGGTTTAAGGTGAAATCATGCGGGTTTTATCTAATATTTTTATTAATTTTTAAAAACTGATGTTTAAATATGGTTCCTCATTAAATTCCGAACAATTTCATTACCCACAACGCCATATTAAAAAAATATGTAAAAATGGTAAAAAGGCTCATAAAACATGAAAAAATCAACAAACTACAAAAAAACTACAGATAAAGTATGCACGGAACAAATTAGTATCATAACAAAGATATTTTTACTGATAAACCCCATGTTAGGCCTATTACAATTTTAACGATATAATTATGCGTAGAATATAAATATTACTAATCAGCCACAGTTAAACCACCGTTATCTAAAACATAATTAGAAATAGTTTTTTTGCCGTGGGAGACATCAAGCAAACCGTCAGTTGTTGAGTACGATTCGCGATGATATCACCGTCTTGCGTTGTACCGCCGTGTGTATTGTATATGACTATGAAATATCTATACTGCATTATGTTAACAATTATGTACCATCACTCCACTACCTCGCATAGGACCAGCTCGTTTATCATGACTAAAACTCTTTTATGACTTGATGAATTAAAAGATAGATTTAGATTGTCCAAAGATGCTGTCAATGAGCCATTTGAGGCGTTAACTCCCAGGCACGGATTTCCCGACAGCAAAATCCATTACAGTATTCTAAATTGAAAAAAAATTTAGTTGCACTAATATTTTTGGCTGATGGCACTTTTCATCGAGAATTTGGTGATTTATTGGATGTTAGTAAAGCTTGGGTAGTAGCTTTGTTTGGTAATTAAAGCAGAACAAATCAAATTTTCAGTTTGAAACTATGCTGGAAGAAAAAATACAATTTTTTCACAGGATATTATTTCAACATTTTACAGCTAGATTATTAAAGAGTGTAAGAATAACGGAAAGAATACACACATACGATTTTTATATCTAAATAGTCAGTACCTCTAAATACATTTTAGTTTCAATAATTGTACAATTTAAATAAGTTTAGTTAAAATTAGCCTATCCAAAAATCTCCATCCTAAATGATGGGGCATTTATGCAAAATAGGCATTCATCCGGTTATAAATACCCGGTTATTTTATGCCATGCATCTTAATTGAATTACAATAATGTACACAGAAAAATATATTTCGCTAAAGACTTCCATTATCTGATTTCATACAAATGTGGCTTGTTGTGTTTATAAATCAATAAACATTGATATATTATTATAGGCGAGCTTTGAGACAATAAAATACGTGAAAAATAACAGTTTTGGACGTTTAGGTTCAGCCTTTTTTCACGATAATCCTATTGTACGGAAGAATGAAAGTGCGTATGTCAGCAGCAGTGGCTTGACATGTGTTTCCAGGCTGTTTTACCAACGTCTCAACAAAAATTCCCTGCGAATCCCTGTCATTAGGCTCCGCTATGGATTTGGTCTCGACCTACAATGGGCCCGGCTTTCACATCATTTGGCTCTGACTCGTGAACCCATTTTTTGGTCGTCGCTTATATAGTCCGGGACCAACGTCTGGTCGCGGACTATGAAGTCCCGAGCTCGTGAACCGCCCCAAAAAGTCCTTAATCCCACATAGATGCTGCACTACTGTTTGGAATGTGCTGAAGAACACCTCACCAAAGCGAACATGCTACATCAATTGTTCATACCAAAATAAACAAGACACGAGACTATTAAATAATCCCCCACAGGATCGGTCATCTTCAACTACTGTCAAATTTGATTTTCCACATTGATGACAGTAAGCAATAACAGGATCCCTCTTGAACTCTGGCTCATTTGCTGCAATTTCCATTACATTCTTGATTAAAATTTAATAATTATTCTAACAGTATGCTGATAGAAACCTGTAACTTAGGTGACCACACAATAAAACCTAGCTGGAAAATCTCAGAGAAGAATGATTTTTTAGATAGTAAGGAGTTAAGGAAAGGCCAATTGGCTGATTAGGATTATTATGTACAAGGATAGGGATCAGCTAGCTTACCTGGTAGATAGAGTCCAGATTAGCCTTGATTACACATAAAACACATGACAACACAGAAAAACTTAATATTTCGTCCCAGTTAGGGACTTCATCAGAAGGGAGAAGAAAGAAAACTTTTCTTTCTTTTCTTCTTTTCTTTGTTTTCTTTCTTCTCCCTTCTGATGAAGTCCCTAACTGGGACGAAATATTAAGTTTTTCTGTGTTGTGTCATGTGTTTTATGTGTAATCAAGGCTAATCTGGACTCTATCTACCAGGTAAGCTAGCTGATCCCTATCCTTGTACATAATAATCCTTTTTAGATAGTAAGTTAGAAAACTCAAATTTATCAATACAGAGCTTAGACTCTAGCATTGAGGAATGACATGGAAAAACATAACATTTTTTTAGCTCACTCTGGCCCGAAAAAAAGGATAAGTTTATGAGCAGTCTCAAAAGTAGGCTTACTTTTAGCATGAATTTCCATAGGAAAGTAGCCTAACACCGTAGGTGGCACTGTCAAACCTAGACCCAGATCCTATAGCCTATCCTTTATTTTTATTTTTATGTCATCAGAAGAAACAAACACTTTTCGTCCTAATCTTTTTTTGAAAAACGTAACAGATTTTGACCATCAATTGGTAAAAATATTTTGTTGACATACCAATTTTTCAGTGTATTGCGGTTTTGCTTTGGTTTTGCTTGGTCCAAAACGCTAAGATTCTGTTCCACAGTAACAACGTTCTGTTTTCATTTTACCGATGCTATTTTGTTGTTGGCAATAAGCAATATTTTTTGGGATAAATTCAAAAAACTTATTCCTAGTCATATCCTGTGGAGATAAACGTAGGTTTCCTATCGCCGAGCGTGGGAACAAAAATGTCGAGATTCCTAGACAGCGGTAGTTAAACCGAACTGCTCTCAAAGCAAGGCCGGTTAAAACAAACTGTAATATTTTACAATCGAGGGCGGATGATCCGATTATCGGTTAATGCAAGGTTGGTTATGAGCAAGGCTACTGAAAAAGAGGTTGCCTCAGTCGTGTAAATGATGTCATCCGCCAACCCACTGGTTCTGCTTTTAATTCACACAGCTGCCACCTGTCAAATTCTTAGTTATTGTTGTTTGTTTTTCATTTAATTATTTTCACAGAGCTTACACAAAAATAAACAACAATAACAACGAATTTGACAGGTGGCTGTGTGAATTAAAAGCAACACCGACCGGGGCGGCAGGTGACGTCAAACGCGTGACTGAGGCAACCTCTTTTTCAGTAGCTTGGGTTAAGAGGGAGTCTACTGTAATTAGTTAGACAGCTAGGTTTAATATAATGATAGATGCTGAAAGGAATCTAGGTTACCGGGTTTAAATGTGACTTGTTAGGTTTATGGGGATATTGGGCCTAAGACAACTTTGCACTCTTCATTATGAAAAAAATAATGGAGTAATATTTTCCTACAGTTACCTAAAGTGGGCTTCCTTCATACAGACTTCAAAATACAGACTTCAAAATACAGCATTCAAAATAGCTAATTGCTGCATTTACTTACTTTAACTGCACTCCTTTTGTTTGCTACACTCCAGTATTCCAATCAAACAACACAAAACAATCTGCTTTTAGGCACGTACAAGTTACAACATTGAAAATAAGTTGGCAACACTTAACTTAAAGATACCGGTACTTTACTAGGACTACGATCAGCTGGTACAGTGTTTGTTTCCCATGTTGTTAAAAGCTTGGATTTAACCTAACCTAAAAAAGTGTTGTAGCCTATATACTGTTTGAAAAACAAACTTAACGAGCTGTTGGCCCATCCTACATATGGGAATCGAGTAGTCCATTAAAACTGTATATAGTCTATTCCTATTTCTATTCCTAATTCAAGCATAGTTTAAGCAGTTCAAAATTTATTGTAAAAAAGACTGCCAAAATGAATTATAACATGTGATCATTGTTATTTCCCAACTAGTAATGCGTGATTGCGAGATGTTCCAATCAAAACGTTTCGATTGTTTGAACCTCTCGAGACGTTTCGATTATATTTTTGCTTAGCGAGAGGATCTTACCGAGAGGTTTTATCGAGATGTTCGTGACGATTGTTTCGTTTCAGCACGGCTTCTCTTCTCTTGTATCTTGCATTCGTCTAGAGTACCGAGAGGTTTTAACGAGATGTTCGTGACGAGTGTTTAGTTTCAGCACGGCTTCTCTTCTCTCGTGTCTCGCATTCATCTAGAGAACCGAGAGGCGAGAAGTCCTTACCAAGAGTCTTTTTAACGAGATGTTCATGGTGATTGTTCTGTTAAGTGCGGTATCGTCATTTACTATCATATAATTTCTATTGTATGTGCAAACCTTTATTTATTAGAAGTAAGATCATGTCTGTGATAATCCTGTTTATATTTTTGTGTTTGTTGTATGTAAAAAAGAAGTTAAATGTAGGCTTATATGTACACAGATATCGAACATTCGCCAATGTAACACCAGAAACCAGTTCATGTTAGATATACCATACAGTAGGCTACCTAAGTAAGTGTAAAAACAGTTTTGCGATTATTGGTCTAAAAATGTTTAATAGGTTGCACACTGAAAGCAAATCTTTACAATTTAAGTTATTCAAACTTGGACTCCATGACTGGCTAGGCCTGAATCCTTTCTATGACTTGTCAGAATATTTTTCTATTAAGTCTGTACACTTTTGATGTTCCGATTGACAAATAGTAGGCCTATTGTATTTTTAACTTTGTATTGATCATTTGTAACGATCATATTGATGTTGACTATTACATTGAATATTGTGTTTAAAGACAATAAAGATAAAGATTCTGATTCTGTATCTGCCGGGTATTGACCCCAAATAAGAGGTATATCTTACTTCAAAACCAAGGAAAGTTTATGGATATATTACTTACTTTATCTACGGAATATTGACTTAATACCACTCAATAAAACTATTGACAAGATGATATATTTTACAAACAAAATGTTTGTATTTAAATCAAAATGTTTATAACGAGACAGAAGGTTCTCATTTAAATTGTTAGGTAGGCTATGTTAACAGTATTATTTACAATTAGGCCTAAACCCATTACTTCAAAATAATTTTCTATTTCTGTTGCCAATACGGAGTGACGTAAGTGCTTATTCATATGTCAACAGTATGTTGTGCATAATAGTCTACTATTCTAAAAGAATCTAGAAAAAGAACTAACATCCTTGTAACAACTCTCATGAAATGTAGGCAGATGCAAACAGACATTTAGGTTTAACGAATGCAACAATCGAGAGAAACATCTCGATTGTACAAACCTCTCGCTAAGCAATCGAAACAATCGATAAGCTGAACATCTCGAGAAGGAACATTTTGATTGTTCAAACATCTCGCAATCGCGCATCACTATTCCCAACCTTTCCTAAAAAAGTTGAGTACCTAGCAAAAAAAATTCATAAGCTTTCATTTGAAAGCTCGCGAGCTTCGATCTTATAAGTAGAGCAATTGTTATAGGATCTTACTCATTTCCTAAAATCAATGACAAAATCACATTAGTAAATAAAACTAACATCATCTAATATATAAAATTCTCGTGTCACAGTGTTTGTCTGCAAACTCCTCCGGAACGACTTCACCGATCGTTATGAAATTTGGTGTGTAAATTCTGTAGGTATGCGAATCGGACGTAAACTATTTCCCGTTTCGAAATTCTTAAAAGGGCTCCGCCCCAGTGGCTCTGGAGTTTCCCATGTTAACCTTATGAGAAATGGAATTAATGAATCTTAACAGCTGTTTCAATTAAACAAGTTGGTTCTGTTCTATGATGTTCAATAGCATTAAAGTTACAAGGATTACCAACAGGGTGCAGCACTATTATTTCTTTTACATTTATGACAACAGCTAATTTGCAACCAAAAGGTGAGTGAGCGTAGCGAACGAACTTCAACCTGGAGGCGAGTGAGCGTAGCGAACGAGCTAACCTGAAGGCAAGTGAGCGCAGCGAACGAGCTCCAACCTAAAGGTGAGTGAGCGTAGCGAACGAGCTCCAACCCAAAGGTGAGTGAGCGTAGCGAACGAACTTCAACCAGGACGTGATTGAGCGATGCGAACGAGATCATCTTGAAAATTAAACGTAACGGTACTTTCTTTCCATCGGTCTGTCTTAGGGGAAACCTATAACTTAGGCGATACGAAGTTCGCCGGGTCAGCTAGTAGTTCTATAGAATATGAAATATTTTTATATTCAACCAGCTGTTAGCTAAGCTTATAACAAATTATATTGCACTAAAACAAACTAAAGATTTTAAAGACTGCTCAAAAAAATAAATTAGAACATCTAACTTAGTATTTTACTATGTATTGTTAAATAATCTGTCATCCTCTTACCGAATAAATGAACGTATCAATGATTATAGCATTACACATAAATAAGTCAACCCTACGTATGCAATTTCATTTTTATCCAAATGCTGAATTTGTGTCACAAATGCTGAATGTTTACAGCTGTTACGTTAAGCAAATGGTATTATAGCAAAAGCTAGTCTAGAATGTTTACGTCGGCAGCTAGACTTTACAAAAATTAAAACTTAATTTCTAAAAAAATGAAAACCTGAACTAAAATTATGGATTCGACATTCCCTAGTTTTCAAAATTATCGGTAATACTGAACTTATACTACTTATGTTAAATTGCAGTTTTTTTGCGTTATCTACCTAAATTAGACTATTTTAAGCACTTTTTACCATTGGCACTTATGGGGAAACGCTTATTTCACCCTGAAAATCGTGTTTGAAAATCAAGAAAAATGCTAGAAATGGGCAATTTTAGACGCATGAAAAACTTTTTGGGTACAGTTTCTTAACTGGACTAACTTATGCTAAGTTAATGTCGATTGAAAATATTGTTTAATAATCAATAAGTTATTACCAGGTGTATCAGTTATAAAATTAAACTGTCATAACCTAACCTAACCAACCAAACTTGCTGATAGTAAACATCGATTGAAGGTTTAACTTACTAATAATCGGTATTAGCATAGCTAACTTAAGTTAAGAAACTGTACCAAACTTATTTTTACTTTGTGTCAATAACGTAATACTAACCTAACCTAACTTAACCAGTGTTTACCGAAAATTGGTCATTTTGGCACATTGTTTACCTAAGCATGGGTTAGGTTGGGTTGGGTTGGGTTGGGTTGGGTTTAGGTTAGGTTAGGTTAGGTTAGGTTAGGTTAGTTTATTTTATTATATATTTAATTTGGGTTGGTTTACCCAAAAATGGGTCATTTTTGGCAAGTTATACTATTTTTACGATTTTTCAAACCTGGTTTCCTGGGTAAAAACGGCATTTGCCAAAAAAGTGTTTAAAATAGACTAAATAATTAAAAAAAAACACACCCTAAGTTAAAAAGAAAATTTTCAAGCCCAAAAATCATTGATTTCTAGCATTTTTCTTGATTTTCAAACGCGATTTTCAGGGTGAAATAGGCGTTTCCCCCAAAAGTGCCAATGGTAAAAAGTTCTTAAAATATTCTAATTTAGGTAGGGTAGATAAGGCAAAAAAAATGCAAAATAACAAAAGTAGTATAAGTTCAGTATTACCAAATTATCTTTCTTTCAACACAAATATCGTGAAAATCCGTCAAGTGGTTGATTCAGAATCGTGAAATAAAAAACCCCTCTCACGTTTTAATAAATATGATGATTAGTTATGCTTTATAGTAAGTAACTTAACTGTAGGAAAAAAAACAATGTGTAATGCAAGTGCAAAGAACCTTTGCTCTTTGCTGCACTCGAGAAACTTTCCACATTTCTTTCATGTGCAGAAAAGTGCCACTTTGCACACTTAAAACACAAATAACGCATAAAGCTGGGCTACAAACAATCGACTGAAAATATCAATCTGATTAACTTAGTAGTTTAGGTCTTCAATTGATTTTTACATAATCAGCAAGTCTGGTAAGGTTAGGTTTAACATTTTCTAATAATTGATAGACTAGGTATAGTTAAATATGGGTACACTTCCGTAACTTGTATTGCTGGCCGTATTGCGGAAAAATACGTCCGCGAGAAATATTAACGATGATGTCAACAGATAGAGGACACTTCAACGGACACGACAGTATCAAAATCATTTACCTAGGGGATAAGTGAGGGGGGGTAAAACCAGCAATAAGTAGTGTGCGCGCCCGATAAAATCTATTGCCGGCCGTATTGCGGAAAAATACGTCCGCAAGCAATATTAACGATGATGCCAACAGATAGAGGACACTTTAACGGACACGACAGTATCAACATCATGTACCTGGGGGATAAGTTAGGGGGGGTAAAATCAGCAATAAGTAGTGCGCGTGCCCGATAAAATCTATTGCCGGCCGTATTGCGGAAAAATACGTCCGCGAGAAATATTAACGATGATGTCAACAGATAGAGGACACTTCAACGGACACGACAGTATCAAAATCATGTACCTAGGGGATAAGTGAGGGGGGGTAAAACCAGCAATAAGTAGTGCGCGCGCCCGATAAAATCTATTGCCGGCCGTATTGCGGAAAAATACGTCCGCAAGCAATATTAACGATGATGCCAACAGATAGAGGACACTTTAACGGACACGACAGTATCAATATCATGTACCTGGGGGATAAGAAAGGGGGGGTTGAGTCAGCAATAATTAGAGGGCGCGCCTGAATAAAATCTATTGCTGGCCGTTTTTGGGAAAATACGACCGCGTACCATATTACCGATGATGTCACCAGATAGAGGACACTTTAACGGACACGACAGTATCAATATCATGTGTCGTGTCCGTTGAAGTGTCCTCTATCCGTTGACATCATCGTTAATATTGCTCGCGGACGTATTTTTCCGCAATACGGCCGGCAATAGATTTTATCGGGCACGCGCACTACTTATTGCTGATTTTACCCCCCCTAACTTATCCCCCAGGTACATGATGTTGATACTGTCGTGTCCGTTAAAGTGTCCTCTATCTGTTGGCATCATCGTTAATATTGCTTGCGGACGTATTTTTCCGCAATACGGCCGGCAATAGATTTTATCGGGCGCGCACACTACTTATTGCTGGTTTTACCCCCCCTAACTTATCCCCCAGGTACATGATGTTGATACTGTCGTGTCCGTTTAAGTGTCCTCTATCTGTTGGCATCATCGTTAATATTGCTCGCGGACGTATTTTTCCGCAAAACGGCCAGCAATAGATTTTTAAAGGCGCGTGCACTAGTTATTGCCAAGTTATTGCCAGGTTCACACAAGTGACACAACTAACTTACACACAAAATTATATCCCTACGATCCCTGCAAAAACCAAAAATAGTTAGGCTAACTTATACTTTACCACTCTGTTGAGCACTAGGTGACGTTTCTTCTGCACTCATCATATAAATTAGGCTCTGCTCAGTCCACGATTATTAGGTCCATGGTTATTTGCATAGTGATTAGTAAACAATGTTTAGAAAATATTTGCCACAAAAGTTAATCGTTAGCTATTAGTTTATAATCGTTTGATTTGATTATAAAATAATAATTCAAAGGTGAATAGACACCCTAACCAAAACCAACCATACTAAATTTTCATGTTCATCCTTTCCTTTTCCTTTGTTTGTTGTTACTTGTTATACTCGTTAGTTTAGTTGTTACAAATGTTTGTTTTTTGTTTGTTTAGGTTAGGGCCACTGAGCTAAAATTATACCGGGAGGGGAACGGGCACACGGAAGGGACTAAGGCTAAAGCTGTAGTGACGTCATATCTCTAGTGGCTAATGTCTTCTCTTGAGGCGACACGATTACCGTAACGAAACGATGTGATTTCAGCGGCGTACGTGGCATAGTTGGTAGCGTTTCGGATTGGTGTTCAGGAGGTCCCGGGTTCGTATCCCGCTGGCAGCACTAACTTTTTGTCAACAAATTGTTCATATCAGCAAGTTTGGTTGGTTAGGTTAGGTTATGACAGTTTAATTTTATAATACTAAATTTTAAAATTAACAAAAAACTATAAGTAATTATTAATTAGATTTTTATCTTATATAGTTTTTATATTATCAGCAAGTCTGGTTGGTTAGGTTATGTCATGACAATTTAATTTTAAAAATTAAAAATTTATTTTATAATTTGAAACAATATTTTATAATTAAAAAGTTAATTTTATAACTAAAAAAAAAATTATAATTTAAATTATTTCAACTTAGCAGTTCTAGCGGCGAACGCTGACACTACAAGATATGTTAGCCTTAGTCCCTCCCGTGTGCCCCACCGTAACTGGAGGAAGCACTGCCATGGCTGAAGTCTGTCAAAAGCGTGTCGCTGATTTTGTTAGGTTGGTATAGCAGTAGGTTTTCTTATCTTAGCAATAACATGGCTTCTTATAACTAGGTTGGTATAGCAGTGAGTTTTTTTGTCATAGCAATAACATGGCTTCTTATGACACCTGCCTCACGCAAACATGGCGGCTGGTGACACGCATCTTTGACAATCAGTGCTACCTCCTGTTAGAATTATAGCTCAGTGGTTAGGGCCAGGGCTGGTTGGGTTTTGGGTTATAAGTTTGTTTTGTTATGAGCATCCAGCATCTTATTTAGGATCATCTTAATATAGAAGTACTGCGCATGTGCACAAGCAGAAGTGTCTGTTTGTAGAAATGCGAGGTAAACGCTTCGGTTACTTTTAATATAACGGTTGTGAAACGTCACAGTCACACTTGTTGTGCTTGTTCCAGTTACAAAACGAAAGGCGGGCCTCTTGGCCCGTGGCTTTATTTTTATAAGTACCAGCTCAGGAGAGTAGAACCATAGATCAAACATACTTAGATAGATAGATTAAACATGGCGACTAGTTTCGAAACATCAAGGTTTCATTGTCAAGCCTCTTGCCTCTTAAAAATATTGTGACATCTTGTCGTCGTCATTACACATAGTACATTTAACGATTTAACATATAAACACGAACACGGACACAAACTATTTACAAAAATGAGTGCGTGGCTGGCCATAAGTACCACGGTGATGGACATGATGCAACTAACCGACTCCTGTCTGTTGACATTGACCTTATACACTAATGTCCCAATACAGGAAACGCTAGAGTTAGTTAGAGAAAACCTGTCTACTAACTCCCAACTAAGTATTGACGCTATTAATGAATTAATATACCTATTGAAAACAACACTAGACCAGAACTACTTTACATTTAACGGGAAGTATTACCTACAAGAAGAAGGACTCGCTATGGGCTCTCCATTATCGAGTGTGCTCTCCGAAATATACCTCATAATAGTTTTGAAAACAAAAACATCCTCTCCGGCAACAATACATTTTCTAAGAAAATAATGTCCTATAAAAGATATGTCGATGACACATTTTTGATCTTTAATGACAATCTAAGGCAACTACAACTTTTAAATAATTACTTGAACAATATTACTAAGACCATCAAATTCACGCTCGAAGTCGAAAATAATAATGCAATTAACTTCCTGGATCAAAATGACCAAAAACAACAACATCACCTACAAAATTTACAGAAAGCCTACAACAACAGACAATACTATCCACGCTTCATCTAATCATCCACAATCCCATAAGATGGCCGCTCACAATAGTTTTGTTAACAGGCTTCTAAAAATACCCATGTCCCAAGCTGACTACAATGACGAATATACATTATTAAAGTGCAAAGCCGTCAACAATGGTAATGGTTATAACAGTAACATTATCGATAATATCATCCGTAAACAATAAATCAGAAAGCAAATAAAAAAGCCCGTTCAAAACTTTGTATCCATAGAATATGGTAGCAATCTACATTACACCCTGAAAAACGAATTGAAGAAACATAACGTAACTTTAGCTTGCAAAACTTCGAATAAATTAGAAAGCCTCCTACATCCACGTACTACCGAAACAACTCATTCCAACAGCCTTGAGGAAAACTGAGAGCAGAAATAATGTAAGTGAGCCTTGACGACGCAAATAGCGATATTTATAATTACTTTCTAATAAGTTAATCAAACAACTCTAAGATGTAACTAAAACTACTCGAATTTAAGAGTGACTTTTCCTTGGCGTTATGTTTCATACTATGCGGCTCATTGAGCCACACGGGTTTTCTAGTACTATATAATTAATTAAAATATGATGTCATTTTGAAAATTTTTACAAAACTGCAACATAGCAGCGCATAAATAAAATATTATTAAAAGCAACAAAGATTAACAATCCATTGATTAAATGAATGGAAAAGGCGTTCCTGTCATCCCACAATACGGCGGGGTTTGCAAAAGGCGTTGTTTTTGCAGGCGTTGTTTCGTATGGTACTCAGCCATCTATGTCTGAAGATGATCAAAATACATTGCTTGTTATACACCTATGTATAACAAGCTTCATTTTTACATTGATTTCCTTGTAAAATCAAGTAACTCAATTGTTAATATAAGTGTAAGAAGATTCGTTCACTTCGTTCATTCATCTATTATTACAATATTAATACAATAATAGCATTCCCCAAAAAATTTAAGTCGCCTTTTTTAAAATGAAACTTATTATGATATCTTTCTGGCCTAAAGTTTAATTATCGTTCTGAGTTTAAAACATTTATTTAACATTACAAAGTTTAAAGTAAATTATTCACCAAATTCACCTACAATAGGAGGGTTTCGAATAGGGTAATTAAGTTCAAAAAATACAAAAGGATTTTTTTTTATTCTAAGAAACTAAGCAGAAACTAAATTTATTTATCTTAGTAGCAAAAATGCTATACAAATATATAGCACGGGTTACTTTTGTATTAGTCTTACTCTTATCCCATTGAAATACTATAATAATGATAGTATCAATAAACAAATGCATATTAGTTATATATAAAGGAGACTTTGTCCTGACAGCACCAGCCTAACAGATGCGTTGGCCACTGGCAACAAGGTCTACCGGCAGCAAACACGACTACATCCCCTTCACCCGTCACGGAACTGGTTCAGCTCGGACATTTCGCACCACCAATCGTAGGTCAGGTTGGTGGTCGTAGACCTTGTTGGCCGCGGACCTTGGCGCGTCCCCGTTGTTATTATTATGTACTCGTTAGTTGTTACTAAGGTGAAGGTCTGTTCTGTCTGTGGTCCCCGTCTGTCTGTGCCCTCCCCTCGCACTGTGGTCTGTTTAGGTTGGAGGTTGGAGGTTCAGGGCCAGGGTTGTTTGGGTTTTGGGCTATGTTATGAGCATCAGCAGCATCTTAATTTAGGATCATCTAAATATAGAAGTACCGCGCATGTGCACTAGCAGAAGTGTCTGTTTGTGGAAATGCGAGGTAAACGCTTCGGTTACTTTTAATATATAACGGTTGTGAAACGTCACAGTCACACTTGTTGTGCTTGTTCCAGTTACAAAACGAAAGGAGGGCCTCGTGGCCCGTGGCCTTATTTTTATAAGTACCAGCTCAGGAGGGTAGAACCACCGAAAAAAAGTATTTAATTCATTTTGTCTATGGTAAAACTTATCTAATGGTTAAAATAATCAGACAAATTGAAATAGTGGATCTTGAAGAAACAGTTTTCCTTAATTTTTCCTGATGAGTTTAGTTCTAGTAGCAAATACGGCGCGCCACTCATCTTCACTCATATTTGGGTTAAAATACGCACATAGTGGTGTTCCCATCTTAAATAATTGATAATTGGTATTCTGAAATACACCCGCCTAAGCAAGCCTGCAGGCCAAGGAAATTTCTATTTACCTGGCTGGATTTCATCTAAAATATCCCCTAAAATGTCAGATATTTCCTATTTAAAATTATTGATACGCATTATTCATGGCATTCTTTCTCTAGGTGACTTATGAGAATAAACTTTTAAATTAATAAGAAACAAATATATTAAAGAAAGGAATCCACACTTTTATTTAGACTAGTGGTCGTCCAGTGGTCGAAAACTCGACCACAAATATGTAATGTACACGCAATGACTATTGGATACTGAAGTAGACACTATATGTACCAGCTGCCGTCATTTTTTTTTATTATAAAACATTGTACAGAAGACCCTATATAATCGGCACTGTACCACTCCGGCACTCCAGTAATCCGGCGTCTTTTGGCGGGAGGTCTTCCGCGGTCGCGGCAAAATTATGATTATCTCCCGCGGCCGTGTAGATATCATCATTCTCTCCCGTGGTCGTGAAAACGTCATCGTCGTCTTGAGCGATCGCGGCAAAATCATGAATATCTCCCGCGGACGTATAGACGTTATTATCGCCTCCCGCGGTTACGGAAACGCCATCGTCGTCTTGCGTGATCGTGGCAAAATCATGAACATCTCCCGCGGTCATGTAGACATTATCGTTGTTTTCCGCGGTCGTGGCAAAATATTATTATCATCTCCCGCGGCCGTGTAAACATCATAGTCTACTCCCGCGGTCACGGAAACGCCATCGTCGTCTTGTGTGATCGTGGCAAAATCATGAACATCTCCCGCGGTCATGTAGACATTATCGTGGTCTTTCACAGTCGCGCCAAAGATTTTATCATCTCCCGCGGCCATGTAAACATCATAGTCTACTCCCGCGGTCACGGAAACGCCATCGTCGTCTTGTGTGATCGTGGCAAAATCACAAACATCTCCCGCGGTCACG